ATATATATATATATATATATATATATATATATATATATAGATCGAATGACGTTTTGCTTCTTAATTACACTTTGTTTCTTTCTTTCTTAAAGTGGCACTGTGGACGAGAACTTTTTCAACTTGTGCTACAATTTTCCGCCTCTAATTAGCATTTGTCGGCCGGATAATTATATAACCTAACAAAGTTTAGATAATTCGTGTCATTTGTCGATATCGTAACACGAAAGCGATCAATTATATTCTTACATTATGATGCAATCCTAATTTTACTTAATTCAAACATCGCGTTATCTAATTATTATTATTTCGTCGACGATAATCGAGCGATCGTCGGCGAATGATTATTTCGAAGTAAAAAAAAAAAAAAAGAAAAGAAAAGAAAAGAAAAGAAAAGAAAACCGAAGAATCAGACCGACATTCGTACTTTTTTAGTTCGTTAACGTCGTAATTTATAAGTAGGTGAATTAAAATAGGGCGGCGGTCATTTATTAAGCTTGTCCCGGATAACGCAGTTTCGACCCCTTCGTTACCGACATCCGTTGCTTAAGATGAAACTCGTGTGCGCACGCGAACGCTTTCGCTTCGTTCGAGCTTATTTTTCTGTATGGACAAATGGTAAAGAAGTTTTTTTTTTTAGAATCGTAGAATCGTCGAAAACGAGCGAAAATCGAAACGAAGGATCGAAGTTGTTTTCCTTTTTTTTATTTTTTTTATTTTTTTTTTTTTTCCCCCTTCCCCTCTTACGTTTCGTGTGATTGCAGGTTACCTCTTATTCAAAGACTACTGCGAGAATGTGGCGGAGGAGCCGATTCCGCAACTTAGGTTTTACGAAGAGGTTCGTGTTAGCCCGCACACACACACACACTATTTAAGTTCCAGTAGCGTGGTGGCACGCATCTCGCCATCCAACTCCATAAGGAATTTCTCATTTATGCATTGTAGATCAAGGCGTACGAGAAACTCGAATGCCCGGAAGAGAGGAGAAAACTTGCCAAAGAGATCTACGACAATTTCATCATGAAGGAGCTGCTGGCACACTCCCATGTGAGTAAAAACATCTGCCTCGTCCGCCTCTCTCGTCGCGGCTCCCTCCTTTCTCCGCTTTCTCTTCCAAATTATTCGATTATCCGATAATCGCACAATTCGATCGAGTTAGTTGGTTTTTCTCCGGTTCGCCTTCGAATTTCACGGAGGGAACGATCCTTTTATCGATTAAGTGCGTAGAAGAATTTTATTCCTACATACGGATACGTGAATCGAATGAAAATCAATCGATATTATACGTGATTACGTATACGCGTAAATGGATCGTGTAAAAATAACCACGTACGGAATATTTCTCCACACTCGAAAAATATGAAAAATTCTTTAGAAAGAATTTGTCAAAGAATCGGCAGAAGAATTGGCAATTATTTTTCTAAATGTGGAATATCACCTTGAAACGTCCGTGATCTATTCAAACTCGTGCGCGCGCGCGTGTGTGTGTGTGTGTAATAAAAACTGTTGATAACAAAAAAGAGAAAAATAAAGGAAGAAGAAAAGAGAAGGAAGAAGTAGAAGAAGAAGAGGAGGAGGAGGAGGAGGAGAAGGAGGAAGAGTAAAGTTGAAAAAGTGACGCTTTTTATCTTTGAACCGGTGAAAGAGGAAAGGAAAATCGCTTTCCGAAACGATGAAAAAGAAAACCGCGTAAAAGCAGGAAGCGTTTTCCTCGTTTCCTTAGGTCGGCTCGCATGAATGTTTGAACGAGAATTCCGAATAGATCTTTTCATGGCGCAGCAGGGCTTCTAATCTCTGGCCCTCGATGTCTTCGGAAGAGAAACTATTTCCGTGCCTTTTTTCACGCTACTTTTCCCTCCCGTTGCTTTGCCCCTAATTTTAACCTCGCCTTTAATCGTGCTTACAATTTTTCCCTTCGACACCCCTTCGACACCATCTTCTTTGTTAACGCGAGTTTTCTATTGACACGGTCAATTTGCCAACGACAAATGTGCAACAGCGTGACAAAAATTTCGAACCTTCCATCGGCCGAAATCTCTCCTCCTTGTATATACGTATACTTACCGACCGATACACAGATGGAAATAATCGGTTACTCGGTTTAAGAATGCTTATCTAATATTTTTATTGGACGACCAGTCTACTCAAACACGGTCAATTTGCCAACGACGAATGTGCAACAGCGTGACAAAAATTTCCAACCTTCGGCCGAAATTTCTCCTCCTTGTATATATATATATATATATACTTACCGACCGATACACAGATGGAAATAATCGGTTATTCGGTTTAAGAATGCTTACCTAGTATTTTTATCGACTAAGTCTATTCAAACTTTTTGCTCAAAAATTTTGATTCGTGCAACAATATCGGATTATCAATGCCAATATATTGTTGTGATTAAACGTTCTATTCAAATTTTTGATGTTCTTTTTTTTTTTTTATCGCTCTCTCGTGAAATTTGAAAAGTGACTCACGCGGTAAAGTCAAGTCTTTAAAAGATTTTGATTCGTAGAAATTTTATCGCTCTTTTTTCAATTATGAAAAAAAACGATAAAACGATATTTCGGTAATTGTTTACGTAACATCGACGAAGTAATAAAATTTCATTTATCCAAACTCTAATCGCTCGATTAAAAAAAAAAAAAAACAAGCACCAGCATTCGTTAAAAAGAATAAAAGTGAAAAACGATAAACAAGATACGGTCGCGTGATTCTTTTCTATCTATTTGAGAATTACGACAAGATCCCAATTGCGTAAACCATCCTTTATCACGAACGAATATAATCACGCCGATATTAATATCAATATTCGTCCATGCATTCGGCTAATAATATTTCGATTTCGATATTTCTATTATTATAAAACTGTGCATGCATGCGTTGAATCCCTCCCCCCCCGCCCCCCTCCTCTCCCGTTTTATTTTTTCCAAAATTAATTTCAATCGCAATCGTTACGTATATATGGCGACGAAGAAATTTTTTTACCACGCGTTTGATCAAAGTTCGAAGTTCAAAATGTTGATAAATCGTCAAATGTTGATGAACGAGTTCCGGATTCTGAGATTAATCTCCAAATATGTTGGTATCGCCTCCTCTTGCTTTTATTTTAATTACGCGTCGTCGCTTCCGAGCGACTTTTCGAATTTTCAAATCCACGACGATGCTGATTAAAAGTAACTAACACGTTTTCTACTAATTCATCGTAACATCATCGTAAAATAAAATTGTCTTTTTAAAAAAGTGACTTGCAGAGGGCAGCATCGTCGTAGATAATATACGTATCCGCGTATATAGAATATTTCTGAAAAAGATGGTCTCTTTGAGAAAATGTATAGTAAAAAAAAAAAAAAAAAAAAAGAGAGAGAGAGAGAAGAAAACGTAAAAATGAATTAAAG